TCAGACGCAAATTACACCATCACAGCAAGCCCACAGAATTAAGTTTGCCTCAGTATACATATTACAAAGTGGGAAAAACTCTTGTAATCATCAAGAGGATACGTTTCCAAAAGCACCCTGGCCAGAACGGTGAGTACCACCACCTCTCACACGAGGGATACGGGCCACAGCTCTTCCTGTACCCCAGGACTCTGCACTGGTCTGGTGGCCTAAAACACACATAACGCATAATCTATATTGTGTACATAACACTTTAATGAAACGTTTACTATATGCCAAGTACATTTATGCACTCACCTGCCAGTTCGCTGACTGCATAAGGCTGGCGGTTGTTCTTGCGCATGTTGGTGTGCACAAAATTCACCACATCAGGGCGAATAGGGGCCTTGAACACTGCAGGCATGACAACATTTTTGCCTGAGGATTCTCCTTTCTCGGAATACACCGAGATGAGGGGTCGGGCACAAGCCTGAGAAAGAAATAAACAATCGTTAGATGTATTCTGTCAGAGAAAGTTATGTAGGCAATTCAAGAGTCTGTAAACCTGTGTAGCATGTGTCTTTAAGACATCCAGGCATGTGACAGGAGAAAAACTACTAACTCATAATTCAGATTTAAAAGGCAGATTAATCTTGACGCAATTGCAGTTTCAATAAAATATCCCTGCTTTAACCGACACAATCAAAGTAAGGTTTCATTTAGCCAACATGAAATCTGCCTCGGTTAGCCTCAATTTAGCTCGTTTCTGCTAAGACGACTTGGCCAGGTTGTTTAAACGTAACATTAATTGTAAATAATAACGGCCGAATATAGCGCATGGATAAATTCAAATGACAGAAATAACCATCTAACTTTAGATGCCATCAAAGTACACAAGATCAGCCTTCAGTGATCTACCCCTGAAAGGACAGCCACACGTGTAACTTGTAGCCGCTCACTCAAAATGGCTCCTCGTGTTAGCTTTGCTAGCTAGGAGCGTTTCAATTTGCTGCTATACTGCATCGGAACCTATGATTTCCAAATTCACAAAACACGCGCTTGCTTGTTCAACACGAACAACAATATGAAGGCTCGTGTATTATATCACGTTAGCCTTGAAAAACATGGAAATTCTCACCATTTTCGGTAGTTATTTTCGGCTCGCCGGGAACCACGCTCCTCACGGTATGGCGGCCACAGTAAAAAAGGAAGTTGGCGATTCACCCTACATGGTTTATGCCTCCGCTTTAAATCACCACTTCCGGTGTCAACATCGTCGTGACAAGTCCTTTGTATAACTTCATAAAACGAGCACAGGAAAAGGAAAACGAATACACAGCATAAATAATATAGCATGTTTAATTTGTCAGTGCTTAGCATGTTTAGCCAAGCAATTTTAAAACCGTTCTTAAACATGGGACTATTTCTTTACTCCATGTTGGCGCAGGAAAGATTGAACCGTTTCTTTCCTCGTTATTTTTAATCAAATATTTTTTTTATTTTATTTTAAAAAATCTTGTATATTCGTATTTCTGATACATTTTCAATCATTTTCTACCTCATTATTTTATTTATTTCTTTATAAGGGAAGTGTGTGTTCACCTATGACCCCATGTCGTCACCCTCTGCTTTTCGAGCGCGCGACTGTCAAAATATCAACAACGGATTTGTTAACTTTAAACTCGTTTAGCCACTTTCGTATGTTTTATGTACATCCTTCCTTCTGTAACAGGATACACAGACCATAATTTGGCGATGTGCTCGAAGATTATATCTAGGGCTAAAGAGTTTTTCACGATTCTTCGGTGAGTTTTGGATGCATAGCGATTCTAACAAAAAGTTAACCCTCAGAATGATGGGTGAAACAAAGTTAATTTCTGTCGTGTTGATTGCAGCTCTCTTCAGGATGCGGAAAGCAGTGATCCGTATATATATGAGGTAAATTCGTGCATCCTTAAGTAAGCTGTCGTGAGTCAATGCATCTGTCGCTGTTACAGTAATGTTGATATCTTTTGGGCTTCAGGAGGAGGTCCAAATAGTGAAGATGAACGGAGACGGAATCCCTGCGGTGAATATGTATTGTGGGAACCAGACAATCTTCGTCTGTGAAAAAGCTGTGAGTAATGTCAGTCCTTGGACTCATTTACCATATCGAAAATATGTAGACCCAATAATAAAATTTTACTTTGTAAGATTCTACTTTTTTTTTTTTACTTTACTCTTTTAGGAGTATTTTTACCTAGTTGTGTTTATAGCGACACAGCATACAGGAATAATTGTTGACTGGCTCTGACTTTTGTTGTAAAACATTTTACTTTGTTTATCTCTAGCATCCAAACTACTAATACATCTCAAGGCCTTTTAGGCCTTTTGTAAAAGCTGTGGACCTGCTTTTAATTTGAAATCTCCAAAGGCCTGTACTGCAAAGAATGATTTGTGCTTATTCATATAACTTCAGGGCATGAGAAAGATGGTTCACGTCTTTACAGGGTGCATTACCATGGCAACGTATCCTGCAGACCTCATGGTGATTTCTATCAGAAAACAAGCGTGAGACTAATTGGACTCTTTTATAGAAATTTCTTTTTTACTCTCCAGGGGAAACGTAAACACCCCATACCTTCACCTCACATATCTCAAGATGCCCCTCGCTCCACACCTTGCCTCCTGTTGACCAATACTGTCTTCACTTGCAGTCTAAACTTATTACTTTCCATTTTCTTACATTAACCCATTTCTCTCCTTTCTAAAGAACAAAGCGTAGACTGGTTTTGTCTCGCCAGAGGATTGCTCTGCTAAAAGATCTGTCCCTATCTACATCTTGTAACTTTCCCTGGAGCAGATTACATTTGAGATTAAAGATCACCACATAGTGACCAGTGGTAAATGGACTGATCCTTATATACACTTTTCTGCTCTAACTGAGTGTTCATCGCACTTAGTACTACAAGTTTCATTCACCCAATCACGCACACATTCATAAAAGTGCCTTGTCTAACATTCTTAGATTAGATTAGATTTGATTAGATGAAACTTTATTAATCCGTCATGTGGGTTCTTTCAGGAAATTCAGTTTCCAGTAGTACAGCACCGACAGAAGTTACATGTTACAGAGTTACAGAGATGAATGGGGGCAGCTCGAGGTTCAATAGTTGGAGAAACCGGGAACTACCGACCTTCTAAATAGTGGACAACCTACTGTACCTCCTGAGCCACAGCTGCCCCGTCCTAATCAGTTCTCTGGGAAAGGTGTCAGGATTCCTGCAAGTTCCCTTGGACCCTTGTGTGTGGATAGTAGAAGTTATTTACATTTTTTTAATAGTGTCTAAAGTATTTGTCTTTTCCTGATGAGCATCAGACAGAAATTCATTCATAGGTAAAACCTTACTTCTTGATTTTATTTATTTTGTTCCCTTGTTTGCTGCAACCAGTTTAAAAAGAAAATTATTGTTCAGTAAGGATTAATATACAATTCCAAAACTGGGCACCTCTTTGTATTTGTTACATTTGAATTCAATTTTTTTATGTATTCCTACTCTCAGACTGTTAAACACCACGTGGCCTGCAGCTAAAAAGAATCTCTTACACCCTTCGAAAAATTCATTCCATGAAATAACATTTGCAATCCACCACATTTAGAGAACAAGAATGAGGTTTCTTATACAAATGGCAGAAATGAATTTCCTTTGAAGGGTGGCTGGCCTCTTCCTTAAAGATGGAGTGAAGAGCTCAGTCAATTGAGAGGGGCTCAAAGTAGAGCGGCTGCTCCTCCATATCGAAATGAGCCAGTTGAGGTGGTTCGGGCATCTGACTACGACACCTTCTCCATGGCTCCTAGCTGAAGTATTTTAGGCATGTCCAATTGAGAAGAGCCCCCAGGACAGACCTAGAGATTATATCTCTCAGATGGCTTGGGAACAACTCGGTGTCACCCTTGGATGACTTGGAAGAGGTGGCCAGTGTAAGGGAACTCTTGGCTTCTCTGGTGAGACTTCTGCCCTGGTGACCAAATCCCGGATAAGCAGTAGAAAATGAATGGATGTGTCCACCAGATTCTCCCTTGTCTTAATGGTAGAGCACTGATACTGAGAAGTCTCTTAACATACATAGTTTCCTCCTTCTTCTTTTTTACCAGCTTTCCTGGTTTTGTTTTCCTTTGTAAAATTTACTCACTCCGTTGACAGTAGACTTATCAATGTTTCTAATTGGTCAGATGCTGTCAATGCTGCCCTTAGATAATGGAAAGATAACTGGGCATGTAGAGCTTGCTTCACTGTTACAGGGTTCAGGACTGTGTTTTAGTCTAGATGGGCAGAGACTTTTGGAAAAAAGGATGCAGACACACATTCACTCCATGATCTCAAAAAGTCTTTCCGTCCAGAATAAAACCTGAGTTCCAGAGTTTTCAAGCTGAAACTGGGCCAGTAGTGTTTCCAAAATTCCCAATTGTAGGAATATTAAAACACTGAATGTATGCTTAGATGACTAACCAGTCTCCTCCTCGTCGCTCGCCATTGAATTGTGCTCTGATTTCACTAAGGTTTCAAAAATAAGCGATCCAGGCGACGAACAAATGAGCGAGGCTTCAAACCTTTCTGATGGCGATGCTGATGATGCTAACGACAGTGCCCATGTACTTCAAACTGAAATGGGACCGCAGCCACTTTCAGTCATGAAAGCAAGGTGATTAGTGCTAAGACGTTTAAAATTTCATTGCAAAAGAAATACGCGCTGGTAAGATGTGCATATTTAATCAACCACATCTGACAAAGTTTTTTTTCTTCTTCTTTGTACAGACAGTTTCTGTCTTGGTATACATTATCTCAAAATGCCAGCATGTCAGCTGAGGACACAAACCTTCCTTTATACCCTCTGTGGGTGCGATGCGACATGTCTGATCCTGCTGGAACGACCTGGTTTGGGGCTGAAACAGTCTGCGTGGGCACTAAAGTTACTGGTGTCAAACTGTATTCCATCACTTCCAAAGGTATTGCTTAGAAACATCACTCCTCTTTGAATAACCCATTTTTAAACATTATCAGTGCATTTACTGATGATTTTTATGTATTTGTATCACTTATTTTTATTTTTCTGATGTTAATGTTTTTAGGTTCAACTGCAGACAAACAATCCCTCACAACCTTAGAAGAACTGAAGCAAGAGCATAAGAAACGGCATCATCCATCCTCGGTATTTCAGTTTTCATTCTCTTTTGCAAGTCTGTCTGTATGAACGAATGCCCGTGTTCTTACACTGATAAATACTTCTAGGTGGGGATTAAAGGCAGTGCCAGGTTCAGCCTGTTTGGTTCCACTGTTGTTGAAAACACCACCATTGAGTCTCAGAGCAGTGTGACTGTGGATTTCAAATGGAGCCATGTGGAGAGTATTCTTGAGACCCCACCCCTGTCCTCTACAGCAACATTAGTGAGCAGCAATAATGACCTCTTATAATAATCCCTTCTTTCCCTTAAAAAGCTTACTTTTTATATTTCTATTTAATTAATATGCTATTATGAATAGAAAAGGAAAACATGTATCTGGAAGTAGTACCAGCAGATGAAGCTGAACAGACACAGACTGATTTTTTTAATGTGTTTATCTTTTTTAAATGCAGAATATCAAAATTGCCAGTGGAGACATGAGAAGTCCCATGTTTGAGATGTATAGGGAGCTGGAGTTTCTACAGGTTTGTCTCCCACTGTAATCTAAAATGACAGCAACTAACAGCATCCACATAAATAACTAAATATATCTGAATCCTGTTATTTCAGACTCTCGCTGATGGTTTGAGAACTGGTGAGACTGAATGGATGGAACCGCTGGAAAGCACATCGCCTGTAAATCTGACCAAGGCTTACCTAGAAGGCATGAAGCACTGCTGAATCAATACATTGTAAATCTGATGTAATGCTACCTGGTACTTATGATTATTTTTTTCATTTTTAATTCTTCTTTCAGAGCTACAGAACACTGCAAAAACACTGCAGGATCAGGCTGCAAGAACGCCCGAGGTAGGATGGAGCCATTTTCACTAAAACATTAATTTCACAATATATCTGCTAGAGTCTTGGGGTTTTTTTCCTCTCCATCTTTTTCAGAAGACCTCGAAGCTGAAGTCGGAGACAGAAACTCCCATTTTCAACTCGTTCCTGGAAAGAGGAGATTTGGATTTTGTGGAGCAGCTTTGGGTTCGGATGAGAAAAAGTGAGTTAGGCCTTCCATTCAGGAAACTGGGATGGATTTTAGCATTTTACGAACAGTCAGAAAAAAAACCTTTGTATTGCAGGTGTGACTTCATATCAGGACATTGGAGACTGCCTGAAGTTGGTCATTGACGCTCTAAGATATGGTGACATCAAACCCTGGGTAAAAACATAAAACATTTTTGCTTTTGAAAACTTGGAGTTAGATGAGTTTGGATGTTGCAGTTGTTATTTTATTAATTCATTGATTAATTTATTTTTGTTTTTTTTTGTTTCACATCATCCAGATTCACAGAGACAGCAGCAGTTCCCTCAGCAAGCTCATTCTGCAGTCGTACCACCAGCAGATCGAACATGTGTCTCTTACAGGCTTCACGCCTGTCAACATGCTGCTGGAGATGGGTCTGGATAAGATGAGAAAAGACTATATTAACTACCTGATTGGTAACCTTTAATTATTCATTTGGAGCTCTTTCTTTGACTCTGTGTTTGTGTTATGCTCTCTGGATGATAGGCCATTTGCAATTTGTGTTTGTTTCTTAGGTGAAGAACTGACGACTTTAAACCACTTGGTAAGCTTTACACTGTTTCTCAGTTCTTTTCAAGTGTCTGTCAGCATAGTACTGACTCTGAGTAATTTCCTCCACAGTGTTTTTACCTCAGCACAGAGGTTGATCTGCAGGAACAAGTGATCCGACTCAGGAAACTGCACCATCTGCTGGAAATAATTGTGACCTGCAGCACATTCCTTGGTTTGCCCTACGATCGTCTCTTTCTTCTCACGCAGTAAATCTTTTGACTTTTTTTCCGCCGCAGTGATATGTGACTGTGCAGAAGTATTTCTTCTTTTAAACTGGTATTTAAATAAACAATTCCCTCTCCTGTTTTTCCCCTTTCCTGTCACATAGATTGTGTTTGCAGCACTACAGAACGTCACCTTATGATGAAGAGCACGAGTTCAAACTCCAAATCAAACCTGCCCTGATCAGTCATTTCTACCAAAAGTAAGGAATGCAAGCCTTTTTTACTGCCTGCTTTATTGTGAAACTGGGATATTTGACCTTATTATTTGTGAATATGACATTTTTATAGTGGACATAATCATATTGATAGTGAAAATATGCAACAATTATTTATTGTAGATTTCAGTTCTTTAATCCGTCTTTGTTGTTGGGGGTTTTAATCATCTAATAGTATATAATGCTAGCAGACTGCAAAGTGCAATCAATCTTTTGGCAACTCAGTGATGACACTAAATATGCTTCGGTTATATTATCGATCTAAATCTCTCACCTCAAGCTGAGGTGCAAACATGACAGATTTAAAGGAGCTGTCACAAATGCCAAGAGAGCCAATTATTCCTTTGTGCCAAAAGACAACGGTTCAACTGAAGATTTCCAAGACACTTCAAATTGAATGAGACACGGTTGGGAGGTTAGTTCAAAAGTCAGTGTAGTATTGCAAACCTTTACATGCAGGAAGGACCTGACGAAGGCGGGGAAAAACACTTAACAAGCAAAAATGTCAGGCCTGTAAACCTCACCACAGTCCAATCTCGACTGAACGGCACATAAAAGTCGACCTGAATGTGACGCCCGCAGAATTCTGGCAGTCTGTTATGTGGAGTGTTGAAAACAGAGATCTCAACGGCATGCGAGAAACCACATAAAACATTTATTGAAAGTCAAAGGATATATTGGTAGATGTTAGGCTTTTTTTTTCTTCTTTTTTTTTTTACACAGAATTGAGTTTTTCTGTGTTCATCTTTGTGCTCTACAGGGAGCACCCAATACTGTGGGGGGTTGAGGTGTCCAGTGGTCATGGTCCTCGTGAGGTCAGGACCTCCTTACATCTTAGTGACAGACCACTGGTTGATCATGTCATCTTTGAAACAGGTGATTTTTATTTACTGAATATATAAGTGACTACCCCAGTAAAGTACCGATAACAATGTTCTTCTTTAACTATTCTTTTGTTTTTAGACTATCCAAATGAAACCGTGAATGGGGACAGTGAGGATCCTGCTTTCTTCTCCACTATGGCGTACTGCAGCCTTGTCAACTTTGCATGAATTTATAAAAACATGCTACTAACCCCTCAACAGCAAATTTCAGTCCTTTGTGTATATGTTTTTTGTGTGTATATGTTTTTTCCAGTCACATCTTTATTTTCACATTTTGCTGCTCAAGGAAAGACAGGAAATATTCTGCCAAACAACTTAGCTGTATCCAAATGAAAGTAGATCACCTGGCGTCTTTGCAATACCAGTATCCTATAGTAGCAGTTTAATTAGAAACTCTGACTCCTTTTTCCTTCTACTCAAAACCAGTAATTTTAGAGCAAAACGCTTTACACACATCAAATCGATAAAAATCACCAGTTCTTTCAGTTCAGCTTAAATGATGTATTTATATTCACACGTTATCCAATAAAGAAGTGATGCACTTAAATTTTAAATGTGTGCATATGTGTGTGTGTGCCGATGCTTGTGATGTATAAACACGAAAGCCTTCCTAGTTACGCCTCCGCAGCAGGAACATGAGGAAGATGGCACTGAGCAAAATGGAGAGTGTGCACACAGTGGGAACAACGATCTCGGTCACCATCTCCATGTGGCTGGTCAAAGGGTCTGCAAAGCACACACACACACTCATTAAAAACTTATGGGCATCGTTATATTGTCCAAACACTGCCAGTGAAGCGAAAGCTCAAGCACAGCACTCAAAGGGTTAATACTTGTCCCGGAATCACAATTTTGGTCTAATTCATAGAGAGCATAGGGATTCCTTACCATGTATAAGTCTTAGAATATTGGCAGCAGTACTCCGCTGTTCCTCTAATAAAAGAAGAGAAAGTACTCAGAGTTGATTAATGGCACTTTAACCCTTTGAGAACTGCATGCAGCTACAAGGGAATATTTCAGAAAGCAGTGTTTTTACCAGATGATTATTAAAAGCAGTATTCTGAAAATGACTTAATATTACAAGCCATCAGCAAGCAGCTGAGGCTCAGATATATCACTGACTTTATTGGTGGTATTACATTACCCAGTTACATTTTTAATCTCTGCTTTGTGAAATACCCCGTGGGCTGAAGTGCACCGCTTTGCTTTATGCCTGTTTGCGAGTTTTTGTTAAAAAAGCTCTTTTAAAAGGAGTAAAAGCTTGTGTTTAATGGCAGGCGTTAAACGCAGGAGCTTGTTAGTCAGAATTGTAAACACACAATTGCAAAGCGACAAAAGAGAAAAAAAAAAAATCAGATTGTTAGAAATAGGAAGCATGTACCCTCAAGTTCTAAACTTCATCATGCACTGGCCAAACCTTTGGCATTTCTGCATGTTCCTGGGATTTTCTTCTAGCTGGAGGGGCAAACAAAGAAGATATCTCAGATCGCCTGTAACAGATTCTACTAATCAATTTTTAAATTTCAACTATTCTTCTTAACACTATTTGTCCGTGCATGTTCTGAGATGGCTGAAGAAAAGAAACAGATTTATTATTTTCATTGTTGTTATAGTGTTCAAATTTTTAGGACATTTTTTTTTGTTTGTCTGCTGTTTTTTTTTTCCATATTTTGGCAAGAATCTTTATTTGTTTACCCCTGCTAGTTGTTCAACCCTATATAGTGAGGAACATGGTCAATGATGTTACAGACGAACTGACCTGCAGCTAGAAGCTGATTGCTGGAAGAGCACGTCTCAACTGCCTTTCGCCTCCAGTTTTCAACCTGTGGAGGTTCACAAGACAGTCAAATATAATCAGAGACTTGTTGCATTTTGGGGCACAGTACAGAATAAACCATGTAATGAAAAACCCCTCAGACTGGCAGGGCTTTGTAGTCCTTTTCTGCTCACCTCTCTTTGATTGGGAAATCCATTGGAGCTGATAATGCGTTTGTAAAACTGAACAGAAGCTTTGGGATAGCGAGGCTTGTTTTTGTTCCTGAAGTCCACATAGTACAAGCCAAATCTCTCAGAGAAACCTTCATCCCACTCAAATTTGTCCAGCAGCGACCATGCAGTGTAGCCCTTCACATTGACTCCGTCTTTGATAGCTGGGTGATAAAGAGATCAAAGAGCTTGATAACTACAAAAAAGTAATTTGAATTTAAGACAGTGGGCACATTTTTGCATTTTTTGTTCAATACATGTGAGCTCATTCACCTTTAAGCATCTCATTGATGTAGTCTTTATAGTACACTATCCTCCATTCATCACAAAGCTCTGTGCATAACATCCTCTCAGAGACTCCATTTGCAGTCACATAAATCATTGGGTTCCCATACTGAGTCTAGATGAGGATGAAATCAATATGAGTTTTTTTTTGTTTTTTTTTTTAAATAAAGAGTATGTAGCACAAATATCAATGAGTAACCTTGACAAAATTGAGCAGACGTCTAAAACCCCAGGGCACGGCATAGAGCCACTCTGAACCAGGGTCAGGCCATCTTGGGTCAACCAGCTCAGCCAGGTCACGGTCACTAAAGTAGTTGCTGCTGCTACGGCCCGATGGGTTGTTTTTTTGGGTGATGTAGCGGGTGGTGAAATGACCAATGCCAAGGAAGTCACAGGTCCCCTTTATGTAGCTCTTCTCTTGAGGGGAAAATGTGGGCAGTCGAGACGCCCCGAGGCCCTGCTGGACACTCTTTCTCCCTGCACATTGCCACAAATAGCAATTATTTAATTCCTGTTATATAAATAACCCTAATTTAGGAGCATTTACAGTTCAACATACCTATGAAGTCTTTCATCACTTGAGGGTAGTCGCCATGAAAAATCGGTGTGGCAAACCATCCCAGGTGGAACTGGACATATCTCTCAGCTGCTTCAATGTCTTTCTGGTTGCTGATATCCACCGGTTCTCCCCATTCCCCCGACAGAGAGATGCCAACCAGACCTACGGATTTAAACAGGAGCTCTCAGCACTTAGAAAATGTAATCTTTTTAGTGGTAAACGCTGAATGAAGTCACTGCACGCTCAATTTCCCAACTTTCATTTTCTTTACCTTTTTGCTTCCCCCTCCACTGTGTGTCATACGTGTGCCAAACTTTAGCATGTGCCTATGAAAAAAGTATTTTTTCACATTTCACTTTAAAGTCTTTATTAATTACTGTGTGGTTTTTATACTGTAATTGAATAAAAGCGACGTCTTATACCTTAATGATATGATGTGCAGCTCTGTATGCTCCCGTTCCCCTCAGCCTCAGTCCAGGAGCGTGTTCCCCCGTCTCATAACCTTCAACAGCTACAGACTGGTACATGTGCATAAATACAATACTTTTAATGCTGACGTGAGTTAAACTTGTGCATGTATTTGTTGTATAAATATTTCTTGTAAATGTACCCATGGATTGTTGAAAGTGATCCAGTACTTGACTCGGTCGCCAAATTTCTCAAAGCACAGGTTAGCAAATTCATTGAAATAATTGACCATGCTTATATTTTGCCATCCACCATATTTCTCTTGCAAGACCTATAAAAAAAAAAAAGAAACATATTGTTAAAAAAGTTATTAAGAACAAAGTTGAGGGTTCTCTGTATTTTGCTTACAAACCTGTGGAAGATCCCAGTGATACAAAGTAACAATCGGAGTGATTTTGTTCTCCAGTAGGTGGTTGATCAGGTGATCGTAGTACTGTATTCCCTTTTCATTTACATGGTCAGCTGGAAAGAGTGTTTTAAGCATGGATTACTTTTAAATAAAACAACATTCTGCCAGTTTATTTCATCAAAAGGCTTAACATCAGTTACCCACATTTTATGCCAGTGGGAAGCAGTCGAGGCCATGAGATGGAGAAACGATAGTGGTTAAGCCTCAGCTCCTTCATCAGAGAAATATCATCCTGCACAAAAGGCATACACTGGATTACTTGGTGTCCTAACTACAAACCCTCCTCTCCTTACACCTCAGACACACCACACCTTACCTTGACTTTGTAGTAGCCTTCACAGGAGAAATCCCCAGTGTCATTTTGTTGGATCTTGCCTTTCTTATGACTGAACACGTCCCAGATGCTCAGTCCTTTTCCATCTTTGTCCCAGGCTCCTTCTGTTTGATAGGCTGAACCTCCGGCACCCCACGAAAATCCTGAAAAACAAAACGTTAGCAGATCTAGGTTATACGATCACAGTTTAGGAGGACTAATGGCACTAAATACAAAATGAATCAAATGTAACCCCACTGAACAAAACGAACTGTGTGTACCAGCTGGAAAAGTGCCATAATAGAAGGAGCCGTGGTGGTTCTTTGTCCAGTCGAAGTCCTCAGCCGCAGACACACACAGCACCAACATAAGCACATGGCACACACCGACTGCACAGCGGGGCAGCATGGTACTTTTGAGCCTGCAGCACAGTTCGTGTCTCACTCTGCTTCAGTCGCTCACTACCACCTAAATACAGATGAGAAGCATTCAGCACCCACGCTTAATGACAAAAAGAAGCGTGGTCTGGAGTAAACGTGTCATATTCAAGCTAAAATTCACACATGCTTGCAAGCCTTTCTAATAAAACCTGTGTAAAGTTGGTATAATAACAATAAACTATCACCAAGTTGTCTGGAAGCATCCAATGTGCTGGACTGTGGGGGGTCCCACGTCCATAATGCAAAGCCAAATGGAGCTTTTCAGACTCAATGGTCTGTGAGCTCATCTTGCTGAGGCAGACAGATCCCATTCAAACTACGGTTTCACCTCTGTAAGCAAAGCTAATGTTGGAGAGGTTGATATATTTACAGTGCACAATCACACAACAATGGATGAACTTTTCCTCACAAACAGGCAAATGTAAGAGGACCTTACAATTCCTGCTATTTCTTTTGTTTGCAAATTTAACTCAAAAGTAAACCCAGTTATCTTTGCAAATCATTTCCAGGTGTTCAAGAGCATCATAGCAAAACAGAAGATACTGCACTGTAAGCATGAAAAATTGAAAACAGAAATATGGCAAAGCATAAATACAGCCTAAAAATGTAATGTGCCTGCATACTAATTCTATACACTTCTGCCTGTGTTCACATCTCTGCTGCCCCCACCCCACTTTTCTTTAAACAAAAATATTATCCTTGCACTATTTTTCCCCATTTGTTACCTGTTAACCTTACGAACAAGGCATTTGCAGCAGGTCTGCGCAGTGGGGTGAATGGCAGCTCTCTCCTGGACTAGCAGACCCTGTAGACAGCTGTTATTTGTGCAATCTCTATTATACATTCCCTGTTGTAGCACCACCCTTCTCCAGAGCTGTCCCTGCTGTCAGGATGAAAGCTGGCCTTATTGTGAGGCTCGCTGTATTGTTTTAACTGTTTAGAAAATGCTGAATGGTTTTCTCGTGGAAAGTGTTTGCACTGCACTACCCATTTGCCCGGGTCAGGTTAGGACACGAAGTGAACACAGATATTATCTTGAAGTGTACACTGTAAAAAACAGGCTGGTGAAAATGTATGCAAAACATTTATTTTGTGCTTACATAATACAGACATACTATCTCCTTATATGGCCCAGCCATACATTTTCATCAACAGACACATCTCAACATCAGACCTTCTAATTCTCAAAGTGGGTTGATGCTTTCATTCTCCGAAAATACACAATATGTTTAGAAAGCCAAGAGTTTCTCATAACACTGCCTCAAAGCATTTCAGCAGCAGATTTCCCACAAAGTTTGACATATGACTAACATGGTGTGAAATCCTGGTGACGTGCCTTAAATCCAGCAAAGGAGGAGATATTGCTAGCACCGGACATTGTTACACTGCTACTTACTCCACCCAAATAAATAAAACGTCTTCAGTGATAATACAAAACAGGTGAACAAATAACAGGCATCTGTTCATGTTCTTCTTCAGTGGTGTAAATACTAACACTGATGGATCTCAGTAATCTTCTTCCTCCTCATCCTCCTCAGGCAAAAATCCGAGTTCGTTGTCATCCTCATCCCCCTCCTCATCTTCCTCCTCCTCCTCATCCTCCTCTTCTTCTTCTTCCATATCATAATCTGCTGCAGCATTCAAGAGGAGTTTGGTTCGATTTATCTCACTTTCATCATCCAGATTAACCTCAACCTGAAACATTCAACAACAAAAAAGAAAAGAATTGATGTTGAAAGGTGAAAACTTTATAACTAGTTGTCATAACCAGACACAGACATCATACAACACTTTTGTGCAAAAGTCTGGGGGTGGGGGAAAAATAAGCAAAGAAGAGATTGGGTCAGTGTGAGTCTGTCTGGCTGATGGTGCAATCTCTTGAGACAATATCATCAATTGCTCACTTTAACCATGAAATCAATCATAATCACGTGCAGAAGCAACAAGTTTATGTTTCAGGGAATCCCACTCTGCAGCCTCTGATTTACTGAATTAAAATAAAAGGGACAAATATCCCAAGACACATATAGTACCTCTCTAAATATAAACTACTGATAAAAAACAGTTAGATGCACTCTGACTAAATGACTGTGCTCCCCTTAAGCAAATTACTGCTGGAGAAACACTGTTATTTGGTCTTGTATATGAATGCAAATGACCAATTGTAATAGTCTCCAGTGTTGTGTCCTTTCCTGGTGCAGAGATCTACCTCAGGTTCGGGCGATAAGCGTTGAGAGGTTCCTTCTTCTGTTTGAGCATTAATAATAGACTTCAGTGCCCCCTCTTCAAACTGAAATGCAGAAGAAGCACACAGGACATAAACTACAGGTATGTATACAAATTCCAGCATGCTTGTATTTTGCAGCCTGCACTGACCTTTAATCTGTTCAGTTGGTCCTGTAGCATGACTTTGATTTTGAGAAGAGTCTCCTCTTCCTTCTTTAACTCCTGCAGACGGCTAAGCATATTTGCTGCTGCAGTCAGACCATTCCTCAATACTGAGAGAGAAACCAGACAGCACAAGGACGCTTTACAAAGCTTTTTTTATTCGATTATTCACTCTCCGGTACCTTGAGTTTACTGTACTAATTCTATTGCGGATCTCCAACACGTTTAGCCCTTTCTGTCTCATCTTTTAACATTTAATACCACTGTATTCAATATACTTAACAACTCAGCAGGTAGAATTAGCTGGTCAAAATATCAGTCTTATAGTAGACTACAACAATGCATTAATCGCAGCCAGTTATTAACAGATCGGTATTTAATGTCCGCAACAACACACTGTTTCTGGAAATTTTGTAACATGATTTTTTTATTCCTAGCTAGCCGCTACAAAGAGCACTTTGGAGGCAAAGCGTGTATCCCATATAATAAACAGTTTATGTCCCCAGGTGAGTAACAAAAACAATTTTAAGACAATTACCTCCGTTTATAAATTCAGCCTACAACTCCATACCAACGCCAAAATTATTGAAACACAGGATAAAGTGCTTCCTGAAGCTTCTTATTTAGGATAGGAACAGCAGCAGAGATGTTGTGCTACAGCTACGGCTACCGCTACTAGCCAAACTTTGGTTCCTGTGCTGTCATGTCCGGGTTTAATGTGCCTTCATGTCCTGTCGGACAATACAGTTGTCAAATAAGACTGTCACGGCTTTACTAGATGCAGCATTACCCATCTGTAATTTCACGCTTTTCTTGTTTTTGCTAATTAACTAGATTCAGTTTGATGTTGTTATTTTTGATACTCTATTTGTATTTCTTCCCCTTAAAAGCCAGTAATACAATTTCCCATAGGCATTAAAAGGCAGCATTAGCGAAGTGTTGCACATGGTGACATCTTGCGGTAAAGTGGCAGCAACTGCAGCCTTGTCCTTTTTGCTTCCAGAAACCCCAGTGACCAATCTGCTTAGAAGCAAATGAAGGTTTAAGACGGTAAGAAAACCTAGCTGTTTTTGTAACAGCGACTGTATAAACTCCTGTTAACAAACCGCAGCAGTGGTTACAGCACCTGGTTATCAGCTGACTTCGTTAATTAAACAGTATCAATGAAATTCTTTGGTACACCAGTTGAAGTGGTCGGTGTCAACTTTACAGCGCCAGGAAGCCTAATATGTAACAAATGTAGCCCACGGTGTTAGTTCCCCTTATAAAACACAAAGGTCATGCTAGTGGGAGACAAACAAGCCTTTAAGGGGAAGAAGTGAGGCCTATTGCTGCTGGCTGTAAATTTGTCTGTAATGTCACCTTAAGTAAGGTGAGTGACGTTTTAATAACAAAGAGTTTGCTAACATACTGTAAGAAATTTTGCATGAAGCCAGAAGCTGGGCACTTAAAATCCCTGCTATGCCACAGAGTACATAGGATCACCATGTATGCTGAGGTTGACAGAGACGGAGCACTCCTGTATGTTTATCTAAAACTGCCATATAAGTCAATATTCAGCGATGCAGCTCATTATCTGCAAACAGACAAACAAAACAAACTCCAGTACACTGAAAGGGAGCAAGAAAAGTAGATGACGAATTCAGTGAAAACACAATAAATTGCAGATGGAGCTCACTGATGTGAACAAGATCTGAAACGGCTCTTAATCAGTCTTCAGAAATGTTTGAAGAGCCCATTAGGGTCTTTATAGGATTTCTTTCTAAGTCCATCCAGGTGTGTGTGTTGATAATCACAGCACAGGCACCAATATGGAGCTCAGCCAAAAGCAGAAGACATACGGTACCTCTCTGTTCACACACGTGAAAACAGGAAAATTAAGAATTTCCTAATTATCCTTCATATATTAAAACTTTGCTAGTTTTTGCCATTAGTTCAACCGTTTTTTTCTTCTTAGCAACCTAGAGATCAGGAATCAGGGTTGTAGCTGGATAACATCACCATGGTAAGAAAGGATGGGTGAACTCACTGTGTAGTCACACACAATATATATAATATACACAGAGTGACACATTAAAGGAAAAACCTGAACTGTCGACTCCTACGGTGAGAGGGTCATTTGGCTCTGGGAGCTTCTCTCTAGCAATATATACCCAATTGCCACTTTATTATGTACACCTTGCAAGTACCAGAATGGACTTCCTTTTGCCTGAAGAACCAGCTTAAATCTTTGTGGCTTAGATATAACAAGGTGCTGGAAACATTTCAGTACATTGTTACACCTTGTTGTTTTCATGTTAATATGCACCAAAATGCTGCAGCGTTATCGTATGCACATCCATGATGTGCTCTATTGGACTGAGATAGTGAGTTTAGAGATTTGAATACAGTGAACTTCCTGTGATGTTGGTCATAAAGCCATAGATGTGGTCAGCAACAACAAATAATCCCCACACTTGCTTGCCACACGTGCTTTTATGTTCTTTGCGTCAAATTCTGATTATGGTTCAACATGTTGTTCATATGGAGATGCTCTTTTCCATAACTTAGATGAGTTAGTCTTGCCTTCCTATTAGCTACAAGCAGTCTTCCCCATTCTGATGTTTGATTTGTAGTTAAGCAGGTTGTTTTGACCATGTCTACAAGCCTAAAGTTGCAGCCATTGGCTGAATCGATATTTATATTAACAAGCAGTTGAACAGGCGTGTCTGACAAAGTGACTGACGAGTACAGATCTGTACTGTGCTTTTCTAAAAACATAAACAAGGTCTGTGGAATTATTTTACCATTGCAACTAAAATGCAATGATGGCATCCTGCAGCTTCATTGCATTCAAAATTTCCAAAAGTAAAATAAAACACACTAATATCTCATCTCTTTTTCTTTTTTTTAAAGAAATGGATTAAAAACAATATATAACCAGAATCTTCAAAGACATGAAAGCTCTCGGGTCTTTGCAGAGAAATAAGTTAAAAGGTTCTGTTTCATTAATCTTGTGTTGGCCAGCTAACGGATTAATTGACAGTACTGTACATGTGCTGTGTTTGTATGAGGCCATGTACAAGAACATTATTGTTTTATGACCCAAGCACATGGGAAGCTTTGGGAGGCAGAAATTGGAGCTCCATGTCAGCGCAGTTGTGACCTCGGGGATTTGGGGGTCATATGAATAGGTGCTCTGAGGTGTGTGCCCCAATATTGCAGCTGCCAGCCTCCCAGCACACGCACAAGACGCCTGCTGTGGCATGAGAATTTTTACTTGGAGCAGGTTTCATCAACTCTGAGGTGGCTAATGCTGGACAGTTATCACTC